CCCCCCCCCCCCCCCCCCCATCCTCTTTATTCCATATACTTACTAGACAAGTACATTGTATTTCCCCAACCACTGGTTTCTTTCTCAGCTAAAATAATAAATAAATCTAGAACTAGATCTATATTATACAAGATGGACTACAGTAGAACAGTCTGTTGATTTAATTCAAATTTTTAACCCCCTTGAGCAGAAATCTTAATTTTCTCAACCAATATTGATGACTTTTTTCGCATTATTGTCAATTTCTTAAAAGTTTGGAAGGTTTTTACTTTCTATAAACTAGTTCACTGTATAGAGCATGAAAAGAGCTTTAATTTGATATATAATGCAGCCTTGTAGCACAATTTGTTGATTTTATATGATTTTTTCCCCAGTTGGCAGACGTTATAATTTTCACTCAATAATGGCAGGTTTTTGGGCATTAGGGTCCTGTTATGGAGTGTTCTGAGAGGTTTTAGTAAACAATTTTCATTTGGCCTCGTAGAGCTTGCATTGAGCTTTAATTTGAGGTATGATTTAGTCCTGTAGCTTAATTTGTTCACTTGTTGTGATGCTTTTTGCCTGAGGATGTACCAGAGTTCCCCTAATTTTTTTCCAAGGGGCATCTTTTGCCCCGAAGCCCACTTCAGAGGAGTCCAGAAAAGTTACTTATCGTCAGAGAGGTCTGAAAAAAATTCAGCTAAATCTATGCATGTATCTGTAATGATTGTGTTTATTTTCACTAATGGGGAGGCAGTTTCGACTAATATGGAAGAGGTTGAAATTGGGTTCTGAGCTCATAATGACCTATTTTGGAATTTTGTTTCAATTTTTGAAGGCCTATTTCTTGGAAACCAGTCATTCTAACATGTTTTGATTAGGAGATATCAATATTTGTGTTGACAGCTCTGGTAAAAACAAAGTTTTCATTGATTTGATCATGCACTTTGTATTTTAGAACACCTCAAACATGGGTGACAGTCGCAGTTGAAAAGGTTTCGTTCAAAAATAAAACTTTGAAATACCATCTCGATTGTTTATTGATGGATTTTGATAATTCTTTTTTTAATGTTCTTGTTTTATTGAGTAGATTTGAACCCCAGCGGTTTAAACATCCATATTGTTCCCAAAAAAAATTCCCTTGTGGTACCTATTTGCTGTTGTTATTTTCTTTTCTTGTTATAGTTCTGATGTGTTTTCTATTCTTTGTGTTTATCGTAATGTCAATAACATTTAATTTGATGCTGTTCCTACCTTTAAAAAAAATAAATAAATAAATGCGTTATGTGAGAGCAAGTCTCCACCAAAACCGAATACATGTGCATGTACTGACACTGGCCGGCCCTCTGTGTGTGATTTCATCATTTACATGTAATATCCTGTACTTTTTCTTGAATAACACACGTTTAGGGTTAAAACTGCCACTCTTCGGATAGGTGGACACACGCCCTTATTTTTAATTTTTGTGGTTGTTTATGTACTGTTCTCATTTTGATTTCATTCTGTTGTGAAACCTTTATCTTTCTCGTTTTTACACTCTGTGTGGCTACAAATGATCTTCTGGATGCTTGAAACAGAAAACAAGAAATTCTGGTGCTTTAGATTAAGTTACCTCTATCAACATATTGCTATAGGCCTTTGTCATCACAGAGAATTGAAAGTTTGAAAATTATTGGCAACTTTTAAGACAACTTTTGCCAATTTTATGGCAACTTTTGGCAACTTTAGGACAATAAAATGGCAACAAACGCAGATGCTAGCTTAATCCCCAATTTTCCTCTATATCTCTTTGTAAATGTACGTCAGCTCCAACGAAGTTGCAAACAGACCGAAGTTGCTTACAACGAGGTCGCGATAACCAAATGAAAGCAATTAGCGGCCCCAAAAGCGAAGAATTTTTCTACTTTCTCTCCATCTCTCGAGAAGCACAAGGCACCTCCTCAATTCCTATCGTATTGCTAGATCTAGTGTGCCTCCTAATATTGGCCCCAAAGCCAAGAGGATGGGCGAGGGTTAGCGTACGGTAGGGGTGGGAAGGGGTGGGTGGGAACGCGATACGGGCAGTGTGAAACTGGATGAACTCTGGATGGGTACGTCTAGATCGAGACCTTTATATTTTTCAATTTTCTTTTCTTCCCCTGATTAGAAGCTCCGGCCTATACTTTATGATATGTAGATCTAGGCCTAGACGTGAGAGAGTATGTTACCACACGAGAAGTATTCCGAAAAAAAAATATTTAAAGATTCAGAAATGACGGTCAGAACATAGATCTAGCTCAAACATGCACACACTGATACTGTTTGAGATTTTCGTCATCAGGGGGAACAACTGTTTTAGATATTGGTACAGTGGTACTCGGATTCAACGAGAACTCGGATTCAACGAGATGAGATAGATTCCCCTTTTTTTTTCTTCTTTAAAATCAATAAAAATAACCCGGATTCAACTAGCACTTATATCAGCGAGCTCGGACTCAACGAGGTCGCTTCCAGACGTGGCTTCGCTCATTTTTCTCCCATAACAAACTTTATATATTCCCAGAAACCATCCAATACCAGCATCTTTTCATACCAACACATGCATTGTTGACACGCGCACGTGTCTACTCTGGCGTGTGTCGGGGTCGGATGGGCAGCCTGCACACGTGTGGCTGTGTGTGCTTGTGGGGGGGGGCGCACTAGCGGTCCAGGCATTGAACGTCGCAGAGAGAAACGCGTCACAGTCTTTTTTCCCCCTACAATGACAAGCTAGTCTTAACGTAGATCTACATAATGAATTGTGCGCTAGTCTATGGAATCAAAAGTTGCCATATGCTAGGCTCTACACAGCAGCACAACTTTTTGGTAAACAATCGAAATGACTCAGCCGTGTTCATTGAACGACTCGGCTCTTTTTTTACACAGCTCATAATATGCAGGCATTTCAGGCACTACCTGTGACTTCTCTTTATACATTACATGTGCAATGCCTGTAGGCTAATTATCTACACAAAACCTCATGTTTACTACAACGAACACTCGGATTCAATGAGATTTTAGGTCAGGCCCGGCGACCTCGTTGAATCCGAGTTCCACTGTATTAGTAGTGGTACATCGTCTAATATAATAACTAGGCCTGGTCTCCTTTCTTTTCTTTAACCCTAGTCACGTTCAACGCGAGATTGGATCCAACAAGAACAACAAGCCGGTCCCGGCAACCTCGTTGAATGCGACACCCACTGTACATGACTACAAATAAACAATTCAACTTCCTTTAATCCAATTCACCCTGCGTTGCCACGGTAGTACACTTGTGTCCACCCTGGCTTGCCGCGAGACGGGGGGAAAAATCTGTCTGAACTCGACACACTAAACTTAGACACACATTGTGCCCAAACTATTTCGAGTATCAAATATGAAATTTCGCTCAGATTTTACTTAAAATGTTCTTTTAATTTTATTAGAGAGAAAGATGAAGGAAAGAGCAGAGAAAACAATATATTCTTCATCCGACTGCAACTCATCGGCACTCGATTTAGCCATAGCAACTTATAGTAAACCTATGGTCTAGATCTAGCTTTTCCTCGAAGTTTTCAAGGCACTAAATTCAATCCATTCGCCTTGTTTTTCTAGATTTAGATCTACTTTCACTATCTTTGCCGCTTATGCCTAAAACAAACTAAAAACATGGTCCTTGTATTTCAACAAACACAAAAATAGCTGTGGCACTGTTGTTTTTTGTGGCATTTTTTTTCTTCTTCTTGTCCATGAAGATTTCAGTACTCGCTTTCTTGTCATGATTTGCGGTGACAAAACTACAAAACTAACTCGTACTTGACGAAAAACTGGATCGAAACAGGCTTGCAAAAGTTTTTACAAGCTACAAGCGACCTATTATTTTCAATAGAAACGTGGATATGTGGTTCGGACTCGATTTTGTGGACTATTCTCGTAGCTGGGTGGACGGAAGCGCGGAGCAGCTAGGACGTAGCTCAGGTGCAATGGCTAAACAGAGGTGCCAACTGGCTACGAAAAACAACCTTGCACTTTTTAAACCCTTTGGAAACATGAGCATGGGGACTACAAATTGTCTAATACGTCTTGCATCATCATGATTTTCATAGATAGTCCCTGAAATCAGGAAAAATCCAGACAATGTCAGAAATCCGAATTTCCAAATTTTACCAGAAAATTGGCACCTCTGTTTAAATAGAGAATGAAAAAAAGCTTCTGTTAGAAATTAATTCTCTACGAAGACTTGACATGACAGTTTATAGTCTTTTATCTTGGCACTTATATGACCCATTGGGTTACAAGTGATATAAAACTCCTACTACTGGTAAAACTAAAAAGTCCTCTACCCCATGAATCTCACATGACTTCACGACAGCTCCATGACACATCTTGTTCATTCCAAAATACCATTTTTGTCCCACGTGGAACATAGTGTTACAGCCTGCTAGGCTCATGTCATTGACCCTAGATCTATCCATACATCATGTTTTACAATCGTGTCCATACGACGTGGGGAACTCTGTGCCCCACTTTCCAAAGAGGAAATTTACTCATTTGAAGTATTCTAAAATTTGAAAAATACAACCCGGGGGTAGGCTACAAAATGACCCCAGGGCATACAAATAGGGTTAATATTTGCATACTGCATCTCTAAGAACTGCAAAAAAAACAATTTTTTAAAATATTTTTTTTTTGTCCCTTGCCCATTTCTATGATATTGACGCCATCTGATTAGTAGAAAAATGTGCGTATGAGAGTGCCCAGTAATGTATAACGTACATAATTGTTAAAACATATAACTGTTACATATAGATGTTTAAGATAATTATAGATGTTTGTGAAGGATCTGAGAGCAATGATAACTTTAGAAATGATGGTGATGGTGGTGATGAGTGATGATGTGGGTGCAATCCTTACTTGAGCAGCAGAGAGATTCGGGAGGTTTGTCCCTCTACACAGGACACATCAACACGTTGCAGCGCATGTACGTAGCACTGCCAGATCTGTGTGGGCCGAGACAGGAAAGGGTCGATGTATGCACACACAAAGAACCTTTTGATCTGTGGAGATGCAGCTAGTGCAACCTGTGGAAGAAACAGAGATTTCATAAAAAGAGCAAACTCAACTTTGAAACACACTCAACAAGAAATCCAAAGTGGATAATTGGTAGTTCTAGTTTTGTCTGCGTGAAGAGAAGGACATCAACAGAATAATAGTCATACAGTGCAGGGAAAGAGCAAGATAAACAGTCAGATCCAACACAGGAAGGGAAAAGAAGTAGCCTACAGCCTACTAGAAACAACCTCCAGCCATCCCAAATGAGAGGTTAAAAATTAATTTATTCTAGTCCAGAATTAGCTTTTTTATAAATGACACAAACACAACGGCCCTGTTTTTCAATCAAGCATCTCAATACAAATCTCTTTTCATATATATAAACTTGCTGTTAAACACAATGGTCAATGTGAAGGACTCACACTGAACACTTGAGTGTTGGTATTGATGCTGTTTTGTGCTGGTGCTGTCGTTGAGCCTGCAGCCCTTAGGCTCACTTTTAAGAGCTCTAGTATCATGTTGTAGAAAATGTACAATCTAAATCAATTGATCTCTTTTCAAAACGTTTGATATATGAGCCTCCAAACTGCTAATGAGATGGAGACATAACGACTGCTTTTGTTACACTTCTGAAAAAGAAACATGTCTATCTATACTCTATCAGGTAAATGCTAGGAGAAACACGTGCCAGATAGAATTTTTTCCCTTTCTGGAGCCCGCTTGCCATTTAGATTCAAAGATCTATTCCTCTTCCTCCTCTTCTTCTTCTTCTTTTTCATCATCATCTTCTTCTTCTGCTTCTTCTTCTTCTTCTTCTTCTTCGTCTTCTCCTTACCCCTCCTCCTCCTTTTCCCTCAGCATTCTCCAGGTCATTCAAACGAACTCACCTTCATGAAAATATCGTGCGGCTCCCCAGGCTGGGTGGGCTTACAGTCCAGGACCACGTTGGGGTCGCTGCAGCGGACAAACACTTGACTGATGCCGCCTCCCCCAACAGGGGCACCTGATGGGACAAAATGGACGTAGCAATTCATCATTAAGTGGAATACTACATACGCACTCATCAAATTAAAGAGACTTGTAATAAGATGTTTATATCACACCTGGCGCTCACATGTTATCTGAATCTCACAAACCATGAATTAGCTAGAAGTTATGAAAGCATGTTTATTTTGCATTATAGAGTGCAATGAGGAGGTGTAGGAATCATCTCCCTTTTGACATGCATAGTTGAGACATTTGCACACATTCTTGAAATATGTTGAGTACACATAGCACGAGTGCTGCTTTATAGTGTCCCATGATGAGGATTTCGGCTGATGAATATAAAGGTTTCAATTTTAGTACTGATACTGACTCTTATTTTGATGAACATGTGCAGTCATCACATTCAATTTTCTAAATGTTCTGAAAATATCATAATGATCTGAGCCACTCTTGTTGAAATATAGAGATATAGTGCTGACGAACCCCAATTTCCATCAAACTCTGCTTCCTTGAATGTCACGACAAATGTTTTGTACTCGGCGCCCTATGAGGGGGGAAAACTGGTAAGAGATGCAACCACAGAATCTGACCTCCAACTTCAACAGGACCACACCAGATGAGCTGACAGCCATGAAACCTTCCAAAACAGCCGAAGTTCAAGAGCTCCCCCTTGGGGATTAAAACCAGGGCCATACACACTACAACCCAGTGTGATACCAACTTCAGGCTTGCCAACTTTTTCAAACCCTTATCCGGGACACTCAAGGTTGTAACATCAGATAATGTACCAAAGAACAAAATTATATCACACGAGTCTTGTCTTAAATGAAGCGTATGTTATCGCTTCTCAGATTCCCGACGGCAGAATCTGGGACTGTCCTGGGAAATTCCGGACATTTGGCAATCCTACAACTGATACAATGCTGCACCCAAAGAGAAACGGAGAGCGGAAGAAAGTATCAGACCTGGAAGAGTGTGGAATGGTGGAAGCCTGACAGACTTTTTGAGGAAGGAGTTCTCAGGGTGGTGGAAGCGGAATGTCTGGTCCACCACGTGAGGCTGAGGCTCCACTTTGATGTTCAGAATGGCCACAACTTTGCCTTCTTGGGACCGGAACAACACCTGAGACAGAAATAGAGAGAATGATGAGTCTGTGTGTGTGTGTGTATGTATGTATGTGCATGGATCAATAACAACAAGTGCAATAACAACAATTACTTAGACTTATTTGAAAGGTCAACATTATGGTAAAGCAGACACTCTTATCTTTATTTAGTCCTTCACCTCAAGGTCCATAAACAAAGTAAACAGATATTGTTGGCAAAAATAAACATATTGACTACTTAGTGTACGACTGTGCCAGACGTGATATTGAAAAGTGGCGTTACTACCAAGTCTTACACTGAGCAGTTGATATGAAGAAGAACAAAAACAAAACATACACATTCACCATTTTGAAAAGTGACGTATGACGGAGTCTTCCACCGAGCACCCGATATGAAGAAGAAAAACAAAACATACACATCCTACAATTCGCAAAATAAATCCTTACCCTGACCATCCGGGGCTCTAAAGTCTTGTCCATCTCTGTCTGTCGATTAACTTTGGAGAAGGGGTTCGAGGGGCCTTGTGGTAGAACGCTCATGTCTGTCTTGAAAGTCTGAAACTTGAGGGGAATGTTAACCGTCTCCTTGGGACGCAGGAAAATCTGCGGCTTTTTCTTATCGCTGCTGGCAGACGTGAACATGCCCTCTTCCACCGGGGTGGTCAGCTGGCTCAGCTGCTTGTAGTGCCGCCACTCCCGGGCGTCGGTGATTAAGCTACAAGTGGAAGAAAATGCAAAATGATAAAAGTTTAGCTCCTCTTGCAACACTGTAAGGTCATTTAAGAGGCGGTACCTCCTAGTTTAATGTCCATCTCCAATATGGCCAAGCCAAATGGGAAAATTTCAGTAAGTTTTTTTTCTTACCACAGCAACAATATTCATGTGTATGTGTGGGTGCATGAGCAAATAGGCATATATATGTATTTATACCTATGAGTAGGTACCACAAGCGAAAATGTTTTTGAACAATATAGATGTTTAAACCGCTGGGGTTCAAATCTACTCTATAAAACAAGAACATTAAAAAAAGAATTATAAAAATCCATCAATAAACCATCGAGATATGGTACTTCAAAGTTTTCTTTTTGAACGAAACCTTTTCAACTGCGACGTTCACCCATGTTTGAGGTGTTCTAAAATACAAAGTGCACGATCAAATCAATGAAAACTTTTGTTTTTCCCAGAGCTGTCAACACAAATATTGATATCTCTAAAGCAAAGCATGTTAGAATGACTGGTTTCCAAGATATAGGCCTTCAAAAATTGAAAAAAAATGCCAAAATTTGTCATTAAGAGCTCAGAACCCTATTTCAACCTCTTCCAAATTTGTCAAAACTGCCTCCTCATTAGTGAAAAGCACACAATCATTACAAATGCATGCAGGGACTTCACTGAATTTTTTTCAGACCTCTCTGACGATAAGTAACTTTTCTGGACTCCTCTGAAGTGGGCTTCGGTGCAAAAAACGCCTCTTGGAAAAAAATTAAGGGAATTCTGGTACACCCTCGGGCAAAAAGCATCATAACAAGTGAACACATTAAGCTACAGGACTAAATCATACCTCAAATTAAAGCTCAATGCAAGCTCTACAGGGCTAAATGAAAATTGTTTACTAAAACCTCTTATAACACTCCATAATAGGGCCCTAATGCCCAAAAACCTTCCATTATTGAGTGAAAATTGTAACGTCTGCCGAATGGAAAAAAATTAATATAAAATCAACAAATTGTGCTACAAGGCTGCATTATATATCAAATTAAAGCTCTTTTCAGGCTCTGAAATAGTTTATAGAAAGTAAAAACCTTCCGAACATTTCAGAAATGGACAATAAGTCATCAAAAAAGTCATCAATATTGGTTCAGAAAATTAAAATTTCTGCTCACGGGGTTTAAAAATTGGAATTAAATCAACAGACTGTTCTACCGTGGTTCATCTTGTATAATACAGATCTTGTTCTAGATTTAATTATCATTTTTGCTGAGAAAGAAACCAGTGGCAGGGGAAAAATACAATGTATCATCATGTGTCCAGTTAGTGGATGGAAGAGAGAGTGGGGGGGGGGGGGGATTTCTCCAATTATCAGGTGACATCTAAGTCTAACTAAGTCTAAGAATACGTAAAAAGGCTGGTTGATTCAATAATTGAATATCCACCAATCAAGAACGTAGATCTAGCCTTTTTTGTTACCAAATGAAATGCCAAACAATAGATCTACGAACATTTCCATCGGTAACACTAACACCCCGTAACCCCCTTCCGAGTGTTTAGTAGTGTGTGATGACATGTTACTATAAATAGAACTCCCAGTTCAACTCTTCACGGCCTTATTCTTTCACTTTGTCGACCAGAGATGCTTAGATTTCGATGCATTTAGAATAAATAAGGTGTTCTTAGTTGAAAAGACAGCAAAAATACCACCACGAAGCGATACATTTTGTATAGATCGCAATTAATTCACTATGAGGAGGTGGAAATGTAGGTCGGCGTGATTCCCACCAAATAATAACAATCTATTCACACGGCAAGTGGTGGCCGATTAGTCTTATTTTTCAAAACACGATATTCGTAAGTATCATAAAAGTAAATTATGATAACACTTACATAAATTGACGCCATAAACAGATCTATCGAATGTTTCTTTTGCTGAAGCATCATATAATCGTCTGCTGGTTGGGTCACGTCAGAGGGGGTGGCAATGGCGATGGAACAGCCGTAATGGCAGAATGACGATCTCCCGAAAGTGGTTGTTACCCTACTTCGGAAAAAGTAATATTTCTACTTCGTGGAACGTAGTTGGCTTTTCTAAACACATAAACTAAATGGTAGAGATGTCTAGGAATATGATCCTGACATGGATAGCCCGATTTGTGTCGAATTTCATATTTTAAAATGCTTTCTTCGTCTTTACATCGTACCACTCATGCTTTCCGCTCGGAATAAAAACATAAACACATTCCCCGGAAATTCTCCTGAAATCCCAGATTTTTATGTTTCAAACCGCTAGAAAATTCGATGATTCACGACTGAGAAATCGAAATTTAAAACAAGTACCCCCCAAATCTAAGCGCGCAAAATTGCGAGACGGCCGAGTTTTCCCGTGTTAAACTTTAGTCAATTAAAAACTAAATATGCAATCATAAGTATCAGCTTCTCGTTCACCATGGAGAAGGAAAGATACAGAAAACAGTGGTGTCATTTTTATTAGTGTTTACAAAAATTAAAACCAGCTAATAGTTGGATGAAGTTGTCCAAATCTGGCTGCAGCCACTAGCTGTCTGCCTTGAAAACGCGCCGTCTGCGGTACCTACTACAGTGGAGTCCACTTATAACGAGTCCTGAAACAACGAGAAGTCTGTTATAAAGACACTATTCTAAAACCCCGTTTTTTCCCCTTCTTTATCTTTGTAAATAAAATACTGCTATAGTGCAATTGGACAAACACAGGAGTCGGTTATAGCGGAATATTGCTGCTACTGTGCACAGCGCACAGGCCAATTATACATATTATAAACCTCGCCAGTTGAGAAACATGTTGGTGATCTAGCGAAACCTAGGACCTTACATCAACTCCTTGAGCCAAACAAAGAATAGGAGGGCCCACATTTGCCAACAATGAAGGCCGGAGCGAATGAGTGGGGAGGGTGTGGTAAGCGCAGACAAGCAGAACGCATCGTGTGATAGGCCAGCCTAGTCTAGATTATCTAGGCCTACTACTACCCATGCTCTCACTTCTCCGATGCGGGGATAGAGAGGTCACAATGCTGTGATGGATGGAGTGAATATGTAGTAACGTGCGCAAGCAGACGAAACACACAACAGGGTGTGTTGGGGTGGGGGAAAACACAGCAGGCGAGTTAGCCCAGAGCGCATTCTTTCTGATCGCCAACGCCATGCTGTCAACATCGCTATCGCTTGAGAAAGAAACCCGATTTGATTTTTGATCAAGTAAGACCTAGAGGTCATGTTGAACAAAACCATAATCAGGGGAGATAACAAAAATAAATAAACAGAACACCAAACTTATAGATTAGGCCTACTTTATCATTTCCATTGCATTTATTACTGGATTCCTTATAACGAGACATCGTTGGTGACACATTATGCATGCATGTTGCTAGGTTTCAGGCGAGATCGAGGTCTGCAGCACACCGCAGCCCTCTCTCGCTTCACACGCTGCATGTGCTTGCAGTGGCATGGCTTGCGTGGGCATGCTCCTTCACTGCGTTACTCTCTCTCTCTCTCTCTCTCTCTGTCTCTCTCTGTCTCTCTCTCTCTCTCTCTCTCTTACTTTTTACTCATTGTTAACTAGCCTTTGTCCCTGCTATAACCTGTTGGGCTCCGATGAGGCCCTGTTATTGCCGATAACTTTTAATAGAGACAAAGAGTAGGAAAAAACGGGGATTTTAAAAATCCCTGTTATTACCAGATCCCTGTTATTACCGGGCCTGTTATATATGGTTTCCACTGTACATACACAAATCTTGATAATACTCACTGCAACTCAGGATCACTAATCTCGATGGTGAGCGTCTGTTCATGATTGAATGGGTTTCTGAGCACAAACTCAAAGAATTCGGCGGTGCCAAAGGACGGGAACAGGACATGCTCCGAGGTGATGGAAGTGTTCAGCATGTTGAGAATGCCTTCGTGCTTCGTCTGGTGACGGTAGATGTCGATTGTTTTGTAGTCCCGAGTTCTTTCCGATTTGTCTCGACGATAGCCCTGAGGTAGAACAGTGTAAACTCAGAGTCTGCTCTACCAGTTTGTTCGTTTTTAAAGTAATGAGAAGCACAGTGTTTAGTTTTAGCTTAGAAAGAGTCAAAGGTCATTTAAGTACTATAACTGCTATCGTTATGAAACAAAAAGTGCAAGAACAAGCTTTGAATAAGCTTTCACCCAGTACCAAGCGCTTGTTGCTAAAGTTAGTTGTTGACCCAGAAATATCGGGAGCTTTGGAACCTATTTTTAGAATGGAAATCTCCAAGTCTGACCAATGATTGGTCGAAAGAACCCTGGTCTACTCAAAAGTAAAACAGGTCAAGGGAATCGTGTGCAAAAATGACTACGATTGGTCCAACAGCCGTTTAGCGCTGCTTGTTTTTGTAAACACACATGCTGGTCCTCTCTCTAGCGACACGCTTGATTCAGAAATAGCGAAGAATTATATACGAGCACCTCTTTTCGATTACGCTCTATTCACGTACATAAGTGCATATCAAGGGCTGCATTGTGCTTCCAATCATGGATATGGATATTCTGGAGATGTGCGGTAAGTTGATTTTGTTAATTAGATTGTTATAGTGTTACATAGTTCTTCATAAAGTCATCAACCTTTGCCTGACCTAGATCTAGGGCTTGAAGCCGAGATCGCAAACATGCGAACGGGTGGTCTCATTCAGAGCGTCCTGTAATTAATTCAGTACCCAGTATTGTCGTAAATCTGGTTTGGATAGAAAGATAAGAAGCTTAAATTTCTTGAAAATATGGTGAAATCTAAATCAATTTGTTTTTAGTCATTCAAAATTAGTGTTATTTTCTGGTTGCGTGACCATTTCTTTCTATCGATGATTCCGTAATGGTGACCTCTTTTTAAAGACCATTACAAGCTTGATGAACTCATCTGTGAAGGGGGTGCAGCTGGCATTTGTTCATTGATGAATGAATATATTCTCTTGAATATCGCGAATATCTGACAAAAGTCTTTGTCAATAGTTTAAACATTAAATTGTTTTCTTTTTGCCAATATCTATTTAGACTCATGAAACAAGTACCGGCACCAATTGAATTATTTTTTATACAACTTTTAGAGGCTGGTTTACTGCTGAAAAAGGACTCTCCTACTCGAGAGCTTCATTCATCATAATTCGTGATTATCAAATAAGTCGGTACCTTTAGAATTGCTAGATCTATTCGTGAGTAGACCCAATTTTTAAAGATTAATGAGCCATGGGGAATTTGAACTTTGTTGCAGATCTAACTTGTGTCTCCTCCACCCTCTCCCCAATTGTCCTAGCCATTGATTTGAAAATGGGCTCTGCCCGTGCGGGAGCTTCTGCCCAATTTTATATTTTTGGAATAAAAATCGTCTTGAGATTCTTTCCAATTAAAAAAAAAAGTAATTAGAATTGAGGAGTTTTTGTGTGTGTCAGTGTATCTGATCTGTCATTGTTGAATATTTACTTTATTAATGCCTCATTTTATCACATATTTGATTGCAGAAATGGATTCCTGGCCCAAAAACACATAGGAATAGAGCTTTGGGGGTCTTTCTTGTTGTTCTATAGAAGTAATAGATGATTTTGTTGAAATTATGCTGAATAATTTCTTATTTTTTCTCTTATCTAACCTCATATCATTATAATGCTTCATGTTATCACAGATTCCTGGTCCAAAAGTACATTGGCATGGAAAGTTTCAGACATTTGCCACGATTTTTGGTGATTTTATTCTGAAAAGTTTTCAGGCCATGTGTACCGCGTTGTGATTTTTTGTTTCCCCATTTTTGCGGTTCCATTAAATTGAAGTGCCAGAACTCTGAAAAAAATTGGGCAGCTATGAATTTGCATTATTGTGAATATGTTCTGTAAGTTTCGTTTCTTTTCAGCAATAACTTTCCATTTTATTGATGTCTGAAATCAGTCTTTTTAGCATTTTTGAATTAACATGATGCATCAAGGAGTAATTTTTTTCCAATCTTAAGTCTCTGTATTCACTTTATTTAAACTCTGATTGTCCTCATCTTAGTATTTTGCATAGTTTATACTGGCACCTGTTGAAACAAATGATAATACACACTTCATGTACCTCAATAAATTTTCCGTGAACTCACAAAATCACACTTTTTTTACATGATTTTAAAGTTGCCAAAAATTTACGACGTCCACGAATTTCAAACGCCTGTTATTTTTTTATTTACTGTCCGATTTCTATATTTCAAACACCAAAGTACATGGTTTGCATGGTTCTTTATGATGCAATATGTTTGATCAAAGCACTTTGAAATTTGGGTTTGTGGCACCTAAAAAGAGTAACAAACACAAGAAGGAGAGGAGGTAAGGACAATAGATGCTTGATAGGAAAGAAGGCGCCAACCACATCAGTGTTCGTTTTAAAAGGTAAGGAGAAACACATTAACCCTATCCATACGTCATGTTTTACCATCGTATCCATATGACATGGTGAACTCTGTGCCACCACTTTAAAAAGAGGAAATTAACTCGTTAATCCGATCCGAACGCTTTGCATACAGTCTGTCAAATCAACCGGGGGTACAAAATGACCCCAGGGAGTATAGACAGGGTTAACGAGAAAAGGAAAGAGCTGGACTAATAGAGAGAAACCTCACAGGAGGACAAAGAAGTAGGACCGACGAGTGGGACTCTGCCCACTCACCAGCAGTATACATTGTCAATTTATACATGTAAAAATAGTCAAATACAGTCGAAATTGTCCAAAACGTGCATCAGTTGTCGAGAAGAAAAGTGATTGTCTTAGACAGTGTCATTATAGTATAGAAAAAAAAAGAAAGGGGGAAGTACGAAGTTATCGTTTGTACAGGTGACTGGCTTGGACAGGTGGCTGTTAGAGAAAGATCAATTATACTCAATGCAGACATTAAACATTTATAGTAGAGGGCTTTACAGCGCTCGCAACTGCATAAGGTCATATGAGCGCCAAGGGGTGGGTGTCAACAGAGAAGTCTTTACAGAGAATCAGACTTAGACTGCTCACCTCTATTGCTTCAACGGCACAAGGTCTGCTTCGACTATCAAGGCACCCCAAAATAGCAAGTCACAAGGGAGTGACAAACATACAAAAGAAGTAGAGGAAAATGACAATAGTAAGGATCAGGAAAGAAAAAGCAGCAGTTCCCTGTTGTAGATCAGGCACAGTTATGAGCGTGACATGAATCAGCTCATTTACAATTCCACTATGCTTGAACAAGATATGTCCCCCCCTTTGGGAATGGCCTAAAGACACTTCAGTCAGTGGCACTGGCCCGGGGGGAGACATTAAACAGTGTCAATTTAGAATAAATTAGACAAAAAAGATAAATCCCAGGACAATTAAATATTTCAGTGAGTACTCAAACCATCCAACAAAACCACATTTCCACATACAAAAAAAGACATTTTTAAAAACATCAAAACGACCCCCCAGCAACACAAAACCCATCGCCTCTTAGCATCCTCACCATGATGGTTGTGACAGCTTTGTTGTCCTCCTCCGGCATCTCCTTTGCCTTCACCGCCTGCAGTCTCGCAAGCTTCCTCTGCCTCTCAGCATCTCCCTCACGGGGCTTCAGTTCTTCTTCATCACCCAAGGTCAAGGCCTCCAGTTTCTTCTGCTCAGAGAACAGCAACGATGCCACTTCCCTGTTCTCTGTCAAGTTCTTAGCCCGAGCGACTCGGACTTTCTTTGTACCTATAGGAATAAGGAGTTATTGTTCAATAGTCAGGAATTAACCAACACAAACAAAAAACAGCATAAAGCCGTCATAAAGATCATTCAGCTTACTGAAAAAGGAAGCACACAGATTCAAATAAGGTGGAATTTTATAGAGCTGACATGAATATAATTAGTTCAAGTCAGTGATACAAATTAGACTTGAACGGTCACTTGAAAAACAGTGAAATAATTAAGTACTGAAACCCAATAAGTTAGAAATATCAGACTATAGGAAAAAAGTGTGAGTGTGTGTGCACGCATGTGTGTGTGGTGGTGATGGTGGGGGGGGGGGGGGGGAGCCTTTCTCATTTTACCCTGATCTCTCCCCTCTCTCTCTTGCCCTTTTTTAACTCCCAGTGGAGCACAGGCCATCAACAACATTACTCCAGCGAAGCCTGTCCTGATCATCCTTTTCTATCTGTTTCCATGATGTCCCCACTTTTTCAATTCCCGCTTGTACCGCTCGCCTCCATGTCATCTTTGGTCTTCCCTTCTTACGTTTTCCTTGTGGGTTCCACATTAAAGCCTGCCTGATGATGCTTGTCTGGGGTCTCCTCAGGGTGTGTCCAATCCATTTCCATTTCTTCACCTGTATGTCTTTCTTTACTGGCCTTTGGCTTGTTCTTTCCCACAGTTGAGCTTTAGTGACTCGATCGTACCACTTGATCCCCACTATCCTTCGTAGGCATCCATTTACGAAGCTCTGCAGTTTCCTTGCTGCTGATGCTGTGAGCCTCCATGTCTCTGAACCACACAGTAGAACAGTCTTCACGTTTGTTTTGAAGATCCTCAGCTTGGTGTTCAATCCCAGTTCCTTAGACATCCATTTCCTGAGAATGATGAATGCTGCTCTTGCCTTTTGGATTCTGACCTTGATGTCTTCGTCTGTTCCCCCTGTTTTTACCCTAATACTTGAACATAAATATTCATTTTGAGATAAAAACAACCAAAACCTTTCCTAAGGAAAAGATCAACAAAAAACCCCCCAGAAAGAACATAAACAAACTACATAAACCTACCCACTTTTACCGACAAACTGATCGAGACCCTCACCTGCTGGGGGGATGATGGCTGACAGACTGCCGCCTTTGAAGGAAGAGTTTCCAGCGGTCTGGGACACAACCACCTGGGTCTTGCTGGGCACTGAGTGAAAGTCTACAGGCGAAGTAAAATAAAAAAGGAAACTATTTAAAGTGATGACAACATCGTACTATGTACTATATAGCAAAACGCTATACAAAATACCAGCAATTTGAAACTTGACTATATATTGATGCAATCTATAGAAAACTTGTAGGTATTCTTTCCTGCCTATTCCTCCACCACTTTACTGTTGCAAGGGGCGTCAAACCTTAACAATTTCATATGATTTATATTCTTTAAAAAGTCTAACATTCACACCACCATCATTTAGCTAACTCTTATCCTGCGTCTGTGCCCAGATGCATATCTTATCAGTAGGTACCACGAACCCCCGCCTCTGCGCAGTTGAAAGTGTGTCAGAAACTCGAAATTTGATCATTTTTAATCGACCATAACTCTTCTAATTTGACACCAATCTTCACCCCGTTTCGAAGTAAGTCAGTTCAACTATTGTTTTTAGCTAAAATCAAACTATTGAGGACGGCACGGAACGAGATATTGTATAGTAAGCTATCTAAAAAGGTCACCGAAATGCACGGGAATGCGTTTTTCGCGTCATTTTTCATGCCGGTCGCGGCGACAAAAATTTAGGGTGCTTCATAAAAAGCCTTCGCGCTACGCGGCTATGACTGTTATCGTCATGAAACAAAAAGTGCAAGAACCAGCTTTGAATAAGCTTTCACCCGGTACCAAGCGCTTGTTGCTAAAGTTAGTTGTTGACCCAGAAATATTGGGAGTTTTGGAACCTATTTTTAGAATGGAAATCTCCAAGTCTGACCGATGATTGGTCGAAAGAACCCTGGTCTACTCAAAAGTAGAACATGTCAGGGAATCGTGTGCAAAAATGACTACGATTGGTCTGGCAGCCGTTTAGCGCCGCTTGTTTTTGTAGGCCTAAACACACACGCTGGTCCCATATCTGGCGACACGCTTGATTCAGCAATGGCGAAGAATTATTTAGGTGCACTACCTATTTTCGATTACGCTCTATTCATGTACATAAGTGCATATCAAGGGCTGCATTGTGCTTCCAATCATGGATATGGATATTCTGGAGATGTGCGGTAAGTTGATTTTGTTAATTAGATTGTTATAGTGTTACATAGTTCTCCATAAAGTCATCAACCTTTGCCTGACCTAGATCTAGCTAGGGCTTGAAGCCGAGATCGCAAACATGCGAACGGGTGGTCTCATTCAGAGCGTCCTGTAATTAATTCAGTACCCAGTATTGTTGTAAAACTGGTTTGGATAGAAAGATAAGAAGCTTAAATTTCTTGAAAATACGGTGAAATCTAAATCAATTTGTTTTTAGTCATTCAAAATTGGTGTTATTTTCTGGTCACGTGACCATTTCATTCTATCGATGATTCCGTAATGGTGACCTCTTTTTAAAGATCATAACAAGCTTGATGAACTCGTCTGTGAAGGGGGTGCAGCTAGCATTTGTTCATTGATGAATGAATATATTCTCTTGAATATCGCGAATATCTGACAAAGTCTTTGATAACTTATTCATTTAATTGTTTTCTTTTAGCCAATATATCTATTTAGACTCATGAAACAAGTACCGGCACCAATTGAATTATTTTTTTATACAACTTTTAGAGGCTGGTTTACTGCTGAAAATGGACTCTCCTACTCGAGAGCTTCATTCATAATAATTTGTGATTATCAAATAAGTCGGTACCTTCAGAATTGCTAGATCTATTCCAGAATAGATACAATAAATACAATTTTTTCAGATTAATGAGCCATGGGGAATTTGAACTTTGTTGCAGATCTAACTTGTGTCTCCTTCACCCTCTCCCCAATTGTCCAAGCCATTGATTTGAAAATGGGCTCTGCCCGTGCGGGAGCTTCTGCACAATTTTTATATTTTTGGAAAAAAATCATCGTTTTGAAACGAAAATGGGCTCTGCCCGGGCGGGAGCCTCTGCCCAATTTTTTATCTTTTTGAAAAAAAATTGTTTGGAGATTTTTTCCATTAAAAAAAATAGTAATTAGAATTGAGGAGTTTTTGTGTGTGTTTGTGTGTCTGATCTGTCATTGTTGAATATTTAATTTATTAATGCCTCATTTCATCTCAGATTTGATTGCAGAAATGGATTCCTGGCCCAAAAACATGATTTTAGGTGATTTTATTCTGAAAAGTGTTTAGGCCATGTGTACCGTGTTGTGATTTTCTGTTTATAACGCAAAATTGGCAGTTTTCCCATTTTTGTGGTTCCATAACTGATTAAATTGAAGTGCCAGAACTCTGAAAAAAATTAGGCTATGAATTTGCACTACTGTGAATATGTTCTGAAAGTTTTATTTCTTTTCAGCAATAACTTTCCATTTTATTGATGTCTGAAATCTGTCTTTTTAGCATTTTTTAATTAACATTATGCATCAAGGAGTAATTTTTTTTCCAATTTTAAATCTCTGTATTGGCTTTATTTAAACTCTGATTGTCCTCATCTTGGTATTTTGCATAGTTTATACTGATAATACACACTTTATGTACCTGAATAAATTTTCTGTGAACTCACAAAATCGCACTTTTTAATGTGATTTTAAAGTTGCCAAAAATTTACGACGCCCACAAATTTCAAACGCCTGTCATTTTTTAATTTATTGTCCGATTTCTATAATTCAAACACCAAAGTTCGTGGTTTGCATAGTTCTTTATGATGCAACAAACATATTAAGTTTGATCAAAGCACTTTTAAATTTGGGTTTGTGGTACCTGATGCTCCATCCATGTGACGTCCGTTTTGGGCGATACACGCTCTGAGGCACTTGACGAAATTGTCTATTACATTTTCATTTTTGCAGAATCTGTGATATACCTGGATCTTGCACGGTTTCAGTTTATTAAATCAAACTTCAGATACATACAGCGAACTGACTTTTTAGGTTCTTCGCTGACACTCACAGACTCCATCATTTTCAGGACTGCGTACTTGCATCGGTCTCCCACTAGTTTTTGATCTCTTGTTTTTATTTCCTCAGAGTCCTTGAGGACCTCAAAAACATACACTTTTCCAAACAAAACATCCAACCATTTTATTTTCCCCGACCTCCCTCCGTGGCACCTCAGCAACCGATTACGTTGGTCGTGCCGGGCAGGCCGCCGGGGTCACTCAGTGTGTACTGTTGGTGTACAGCATGCGCGCCGGGAAATGTGTGTTTTCGCCATGAATACCGCGGGAGTGTGTTAACCGATGATGAAAATAACGCTCTATCTTTCATAGCTTTCTATTTGTAAAGTGTTGCAAACACATGAATAACCCCTCTCACAAGCTGATAAGACATTACGAGTAGTTATGCCCATTCGAATAACCTTTCCGGACGCTCTTGTTGTTATGAATGACCTGAGGTTCGAAAGGGGATAATTTAGGTCAATTTCCGAATGTTTTACTCTCAAATTGTTCTTTGTACCTGCACAATGGTATTCAAAACTATCAAACAAGCTTATTTTTTATCAGGTAGTATCATTTCATACAAAATCAAGCTCATTTGAAATATGTTGTATAGAAAAATGGAAGTCTTGTTTCCTGACTATCCTTTCGAGCTCCTCATGTCTAAGTGGGTCAATGTCTTCTATAATTTCATTGGACGAACATCTAGAGCTACCAACTTGGCATGTTTTGAATGAGACGTATGCCTCGATTACGAACCAACGCAGGCGGTTCTAGAAGAAGGCCACAAACGCACACAAACTCAAGCAGACTGACGCACACACACTTGATCTGCGTGAATGGGGATCCGACTCGGGACCCGAATGACACGTAAGAGGCTGCGCGTGCGCTGAGCCAGGGGCTACACTGACTCGGGACCAGAACGTAGACGAGGTGCCGAAATAGGCTTATCGGGCGACATAAACCCGGCTCCCGCAGGATGAGGGTTAACTTTCAATATTCAGGATGACTTTGGGGCAGTCCTGGAAATTCTATTAAGAATCAGTTCTGAAACACGCGGATGGCACCAGTGTTTCCCCGTCTTTTGATGAAAGATATAATAAAATATTTTATGCCGTTAAAGTTTCCTGACATTTATTTATCGGTGGTCCTTTCTGATATTCAAACTAATGGGCTAACTTTGGCCAGAGCAGACATCCTTCCTGACTTATCTAAGTTGAAAACATATAAATAACATCATTGCCCTTGAATTAAAGTTTTACAGGCTAATAAAATATCAAATTATGAATTTAAATGACCGCAAGTGATCTAATACCTTTCCGTACACTCCGATTTCCTAGGAACTGACAACGAGGCTTTGAAAATCTTGCTCTCCCTTGAAAAATAGATGGCAAAATAGACAGAAGTAGACCAAGAATAATTTGCTAAGAAAATTAAAATCGATGGATAAGGGGAAAAGACCAGAATATTACAGGGTTTTTTTTAGAGCATTTGAGCAGAGAAACGAGTGGTCAATCATGACTACTGATGTCTCCCTGTTTCAAACCTGGCACTTGAAGAAAAAGGAGCAGAATAGGATTTGCACACATTAATAACAACATAAGCATGAAAGGCCTCAAAAGGCAAAAAACTCACCGCCAGTTTTCCGTCTGTCTACCGGATAGCCAATGTTAGCCAGACGGAAGTGTAGCCTTCCCCGGTTGACACAGTTGACCCCAACAGGTCGCACGCTGCCCCCGCGGGTCACATCACCGGTCAGAGCGGACGAGTCCTCCTGGTACTCGGTGGTAAGGACGTCTAACTCAAATGTGGTCTGCACTGCTTCATTCCCTCCACGGAAAAGGTACTGAGGTGAAAAGAAAAAAAAAAGATACTGAATGATACAAAGGCTGTTTTGGGGCATATGGAGCTACTTAAACTTGTTTTTTGTATTGCTTTTGATGAAAAAATATCCCTTTATCTTGAATAGAAGTCTAGATAATTGCAATTGAAGGAGGTGTGGGTCACTTGGGGTCAAGGGTAAAATCTGCGAGAAAATCGCAGCCAAAGTTTCCTGATTTCAAAAGCCTGAATGTCCTTGGAAACTGCAAATTTACATTTTTTATGCCTTTGATCAATGTTGTAATTTACTAAATTCCACACCAAAATTTGTTTATATAAAGGACATAAAAGTGTTGAGAAAAAAAATAAAAATAGATAAAGATTGACCAACAGGCAGAACAATGTCAGTTTCTTCAATTGGATTATTTAATTTTACAAGAGCCTGATTTCACTATGATGCCACACCAATTATCCTAGGTTCGATTTTCACTGTACGCAGAATTTTTATCAAATATCTCAGTATTTTTGCTGGGACATTCTACACCTCTCAGGCAGGGTTGGCCCTCACAGGCAGGATCGAAGACTCCCTCCTAAATTATCAAAATTGTGTTGACGGGGACTTTTTAAAAAAGTTCAAACAGCACTCTGTTGTTTTCCATTGTGCATACCTTCAGTTCCACAGAGCTGGAGCCAATCAGGAGCAAAGAATCACCATCCCATACATCAATGTGCATGGTCTGTCGAGACAGGTGTTGCCAGAACAGAGATACCTCCCCAGGCTTCAGGTATGTTGGATCAATGGAATACTTCACCTGAACATGGAAAAACTCAAGTAAGGTTCAGACAGAACTCAATATTATTCTCCATTTTCCTCTGAATTAGTTATGCAGTAAGGTAGAACCCCCCCCCCCCCCCCCCCCAAAAAAAAAAACCCCCCAAAAATTGGTTGGTTTCCGGTTTAACCGACAGTCTACCAAAATGTTTCTGGTTTACTTGATGGTGAAAAACCAGACCAGTCCGACAAAACTGGCTTAGTTGACAGCTTACCAATTTATACAGAATTAGGACTTGTGAAAAAAAAACAGTTTATATTTGCGTTTGCCCTCTGTATTTATATAGGCCTGGGCTGTCATTGGCTTTCTTTTAAAATATTTTGGTGATTGTAGTTCATCAAGGTGGGGGGGAGGGGGGGCAGGAGGTTTGGAGGGGGTGTTTGGAGGAGGCTCATGGGGACTCCAAGCATGCGCCATTGGAATTTTAACCAAAGGCGTTCATAGAACAATTCGACAGCTATTAGCCCCAAAAAGTCAATTCCTTCTCTTTCTTTTTCTATGCCTCTACACTTGGAGGTAAGCTTTAACAACAAATATGGCAATTTTCTGTAGCATGTCTTCCGGCCCGAACATATTCGCCCGAACAGGTAGAGGGGCTGCAAGCCAAACCTCTTCTCTCACTTTATGGAGTCACAACAAGAGAAAGCTGAACAATAATCAAAGAGACAGAGAGCAAATTGGAAGCAATGAAACATGATTTATCAGAAGAAAACTGAGAACGTCACCCAAGGAGAATACCAATGAGTTCGTGTTTAGTGACACTAATCTGCAGCAATGCCAAAAAAAAAATAAGAAGAAAGAGACATAAGGAAAGTTTTGGGATGTGTAAACTAGTACAAGGGTCTTGAATATCTCGCCTTGTCCAAATAAACTGATGTCCAAACAAAAAAATTGACAGAGAAAGAAGTAGGTCTAGAGAAATATATTCTAAAAGTTCAATTTAATAGGCAACTGGACTTAGTTAGAAAGTGCAATAGTTGTGAGGATGACCAAATACAGGACTGAGCAGAGAGCCAAAACCTCCAACATCTGTTCCAGACCTGGCATTTAAAAAAAAAAAGAGAGAGACAGAGAGAGACACAGAGAGAGAGAGAGAGAGAGAGAGAGAGAGAGAGAGAGAGAGAGAGAGAGAGCTTACTAAAAACTTCAAAACTCGGTGTAACTGAGGGGACAACTTGCCTCTAGGCCTGGAGGACCTTCCATGACAGAACCGTCAGCGTTGAGCCTCTGTAGGATGAACGGCATGGCTTGGGGGTTGGAGGACAGGTCATTCGTGGCCTTGGACAAGAGCATTCTGTGAAATAGTGAGTGAAAGTGAGAGTGAAAGCGAAAGTGAAAGTGAGACAGACAGACAAACAGACAGACAGACAGACACAGAGAGAGATAGAAAGGGTATGATAGAGGAAAGAGAGGAAGAAGAGGAAGACGAAGATGGTGAAAGTGGGAGAGTGAGTGAGAGTGAGTTAGGAAGGAGAAATAAATTAGAAAGAGGGAAACAGAAAGAGATATAGAGAGAAAGGTAGAAAAGAGAGGCAGAGAGAGAAATAAGAGAATGAGAGAGATCTCAGTAGTTAACAAAGATTATAATTTTACGGTGAATACTGCATTATTTCTCTAAAACTGACAAAACCCTCAACTGACATTCTCAACATGTACTAGAATTTCTCTTGGGACTTGGTTCTCACCAAAAGCAAAACTCAGCTTTGCTGCACCTTGCCACCACACACCAATTATGTTTCTTTCCCACAATCTTAACTAGAAAGAAACATTACTTAAGGAGTGAAACATCACACTGGCAATTCTCAAGTTAAATAATAAAGACAGAGATAATGACAAGAGACAGTAAAGGAGAAAGAAAAAGAGAAAGAAAAGAAAAGATAGGGATAGAAACAGTGGCACAGACAAAGATATAAATAGAAAGTGAGAGAGAAAAAGATGCAGACAGAGACAGAAATGAAGAAAAATGCAGACAGACATAGGAATAGAGATTTTTTAAAAGAGTGGCAGAGACAGAAAAAAGGAAATAAAAGACTTCAAACTGTCCAAAACAATGCTGCACGTTTAGTTTTATGGAAAAGAAAGCGAGACTCTGCTAAACCTCTTTTACGAACTTTGCATTGGCTTTCCTGTTGAGAAAAGGATTGTGTACAAGTTGGCCACCCTATGTCACAAATGTTTGAATGATAATGCACCATCATATTTGTCAAATCTGTTAAGACTGTACATTCCAACTCGCAGTTTAAGGTCATCAGCTGACAAAAATAAATTTATTTTACCATCTATGAAACTTAAAACAATAGTGAAAGGGCATTTGAATACCAAGGCCCCAACATCTGGAATGCTTTATCAAGTACTTTGAGAGAGATCAAATTTTTTGATTCATTCAAATGTCAGCTGAAGTCGTTTCTGTTTTTAAATTAATAAGATGAATATTTGGAATAATTTTCTTTAGTCAGAACACTACGTTTTATGTTACTGTTGTATGTTGTACTGTATTGTTAAGCGCTCAGAGCCTGGGTACTTTATTCCGGGTTGAGCGCTATATAAATGTCATTTATTATTATTATTATTATTATTATTATTATCAAATAGCGATAGACTGTGACAAAAATAAAGAAAAAGAAAGATGTAGGGAGACAGAGGGACAGGAACAGTAAAAGAGACAGAGACAGAGACAGTGACAGAGACAGAGATAGAAGAGACAGAGATAGAGACAGAGATAGGGACAGGGACAGAGACACAGGAACAGTGGTAGAGACTGAGACATAGACAGAGTAGAGACAGAGACATAGACAGAGTAGTATAACAGACAGAGACAGAGACAAGTACAGTGACAGAAACAGAGACAGACAGAGTAGTATCAGAGATAGAGATCAACTGACCTTTCTGTGGTGACCTGAGGGAACCTGTAAAACTGGAAGCTGAAGAAGACTGTGGCTGGGTGGCCTTGACCCTGGGCATGGACTGCATCAGCTGATGGCTCTCTGCAAAATAATTGGAGTCAGTTTAGTTTGGTAAAAGTTTTATGGCACTCACAACTGCATTAAGTCAAATTAGCACTTGGGACACAGGTTGGTTGTTTTCCCATTAGTTCTCAGTACGCTTTGGTTTTACTTTATTGCAAGTCAGAATTGTCGGTAGTCTAAAAATACAGGGTAGACATTCAGAATCAAAAGCAGCAATTTACACGTTTAAAATAACACTATTTATATTTTGGAACAAGGACCAATGGTTTTTATAAAATTGAAAATTAAGCTGGGATCAATTATAGTTTGTAGTAAGTTGGAGCCACAATGGACACATTTTGACTGAAAAGTTACAACAAAAGAACAAAAGAAACACTGAGTAGAAGCAGATGGGCCACACCACACCAAAGCATTCAGTGACAATCTGCCTATGTTTCCAGCACTCACTACATGTACAGTGGAGTCCACTTATAACGAGTCCTGAAAAAACGAGAAGTCTGTTATAAAGACACTATTCTAAAACCCCGTTTTTTTCCCTTCTTTGTCTTTGTAAATAAAATACTGCTATTGCGCAATCAGACAAACACGCCAGTTGGTTATAACAGAATATTGCTGCTGCTGTGCACAGCGCACAGACCTATTAAGGCATGACACGGGTCTGCAAAACATGATGTTTAGGTCAAAAATTTGATTTTTAACCTTGTCCATTTTTGGGTACCTGAATGTCTAAAGAATCGATATCGCTTGATGTTTCATTCTAAAAAAGACAAGAATTCACCGTTAGAGACATTTTCCGGGGGCACCCTTCCCAAAAGTTCGCGCGTTTTCTACAAATTAGCCCATAATTGGAACGTGACAACAACCATGTGTCTCCGTGTCACCATAACATCTTCTTTCAAGACAAAAAACGATCAAGACAATCAAGATGTATGTATTTCTGGCAGTTGGGCACTTATAATACTTATAACGCAAGGTACAGGGCTCCTCTTTTTGTAAATTTTGGGTTGTCTTGGACAAAACGAAACCCCGTTGCTAAAAATAATATATTATGACGTCAACACTCAGTCGTACAATCAAAGATCGTTGGTAGAGAATCTTTGGTACAATGATGCGCGGTGTTCGGTCTCCAACAGTACTTTACGATCACCCTCGTTTCTTCTTCCGACTAGAGGTCCGTTTGGATTACAGCCACTGATGAAACTGTCGAATTCGCTTTTGCATTTGACAAGACATAGTCATGTTTCTGATCCCTCTTTTTAAAGCAGGCTACAGAGCAGGTACATCTAAGCTAAGTTTTCATTTTTGAATGTGCATGTATCGTATGATCTAAGAAGTAGCTTTTACACTCATAGTCATATTTCAAGTTTTTTTCCAACGTTTGTCCTTACAATTACCATGATGTGTGTCATTATCTTTGTGAGGGGTGAGAAAGAAAGAGAGTGGGGG